TTGCACCCATGTTAAGCATCACCAAAGGGCACCTGCCTTCCTTTTGGTCACTTTGTTTTAACCTTAAAGCATCAAACAAGCAAGTTATTTTTTACAAAAACAACAGCAAATGCTTTTCAGTAATTGCTTCTCATGCTTACCCACAATAGAAGAGCACAACGCAGGCGTAAGCCAAGACACCCTGGACTCTTATTGAGCTTGTTACGACTCTGATGAGCTGTTTGGAAAATAAACATTAAACAGTTAAAGCACATTTCATACAAATTAATAATTAATAGGGGAAAAAAACTGTGTTTTTCATATCTGAGCAGGTTTGTGACAAAAATGGGAAGGGTTCTACTGAAAACACTACTCTGTATTCCTCTTGGTATTGCTAAGTATTCAAAATTTTGTATTTGAATACACTAGCATCTGTTCATGTATGACTTTGCAGTGCGGTTGTATCTGCCAGCATGACAATCTGTTAATATATTAACAACTGGTATCAAGTTCAGTGTTATGACTTCACTGAAGAATTGTAAGAGAAACAATGGCTGGACGTGGATGCCAGTTGTTGACACACGTCTGAGGGAAAAATGAATTTCATAAAAGACAGTGATAAAACAGAAGTGTAATGTTTCGTTTTGAAAAGAAAGCTAGAATATTGAATTGTTTGATGGACTCAGTTATATAAATTGTGAAATTTCTCCATGCAGAATCTGTACAAAAGGAAATTTTAGGTTTGCTTTCAATTTGTAGCAGCTAATGTCACAATTCAGAAAAGCATTTAAAGGTGGTGTTTAAGACTCTCCAAACTCAGGACAGCATTTAAGCACTTGCTTAAATTTAGAAATATATGTAAGTTCTAGCTGGAATGCATATGTTTTCCCATTTCAAGGACAAAGCAAATAACTGTTGCGAGCATAGTAACTTCTGCTCCTGGATAAAAACTCTATTAAACATAAGTCAATATTTTGTTCCAGCTAGTGGGGCAACACCGTAATAAAAATCCCACTATTTCACATTACTATTATGAAAATCTGCTGGCAGAATTGGTGCTCCTTCCCAATGTCATTGGCTAGGGACAGAATTTACACATAAACCAGTATAAATGATCAGAAACTGGTTTAAACCTATAACAGAACAGAAGTTCAGTGCACTTAAACTGCTTTCAAAATGGCCAAAACTGTTTTAAGATAAATCTGGTTGGATGAAGTACCAGACTGAACTGATTTAGGTCAAAGCAGTTTATGGAGCTTCTGTCCTAGACCCCCCCTCCAGGTGTGGCCCAGGTTTCCCACTCAAGGCTAAGGCAGGGGGTGGGGTAAATCCCCGCCCTGGCCCACATGGGACT